CTCTCTGGGGATGTGGGAAGGAAGAAAGGATTTTTCTCTCTTAACACACTCCAAAGGCTAACTAATGTCCTAGCTCTACAACGTGCAGGCTGTGAGGGCCAGAGGAGCTGATTTGGGTGCCTGGCTCTAAGAGCCAATTACATGGAGATCACAGGCGTCTGCCCTCAGCACAGACCCAGCTCAAGGGAAATAACAGATCATCTGAGGAAAGAAGAAACCACATGCTTATGGTGCATATTAAAATGATCAGAGCCTTCGAAGGTGACTGATTCTAGCACCTTCCATTTGTAGAGTTTTATACTCTTCCAGGTGCTATCATATCCTTCGTTTCTTACCTCCTGTGAGGTAGATAGGATGGATATTGTTATTGCTTCTCTTTTTTAAATGAGGGAAACTCAGACCCAGAGAGAAGTTACCTGACGCAGATACATGTACCCCCAGGGGCGAAGATGTCTTCCGCAACCAGGAGACCTTGCTGACAAATCCGCCTGCTCCTCCTCACATTCACTCTCTTGCCCTTGACCCAACAAGCTGACAGCTTCCCCAGGTCCTCAACTCCCAGTGGCTTTCTGGTCTGAAACAGTCCTCCAGAAACACCCCCCTGACTCCCCAGGCAGACTTCCTCTCTTCTGGCATTACATCACGCACATTTCTATCAGCGGTCCTCAGCTTAAGTGTCTGTTCTCATGTTCACCTCATGCTCTGAGCAATATTTTATGAAGTGCAGACCTGGAATCGCTTATATTGCTTTCCTAGACTCTAGGACTTCATTGCTTTTCAAATTGTACCATGCGTACAAGTCACCTAGGGACCTTTCTAAAATGGAAATTTCCTGACCCCACCCAAATCTAATAAAGCAGACTTCTGGTGGGGCTGTAAATCTGCATTTGTAACAAACACTCCAGCTATTACTGAGCAAAAAAAAAAAAAAAATTTAAAAAAAAATAAAATAAAATACCCCTTCTCTGGGCCATGAGCTCCTTAATGTTAGAATTAAGTAAGGTTTGTTTTTTTTCTGCCAGCACCTTGCATAGGGCCTGGCAAACAGAATATGTGCTCTATTAATCTTAATTGAATGAACAAACACATGAATGAATGTGTAGGCTAATGTAGGTAATATCCAAACTTACCTAATAAAAGTTTGGTTTTATCTTTGCATTCTGGCGTGTTCCAAGGGTTGTTGCAGGATCCCCAGGGCAGGACAGACACAAAGGAGGCAAACAGGTAGAAAAGTGTGTAGCAAATAATCACATTGTAGTATATGGCTATTAGGACAGAGATGATCAGCATTGCGATGCCACAGCCTGTGGAAGCAAAATTTCCAGGAATTCGTCTCATCCCAAATCCTACGGAATTCTTACAGTTGGGGACAGGGTGGGGACCTGGCTGTCAGCTCTCTTTTACAGGTGGATACACTAACAATGGAGTGAACTCTGTGTTTACAAAGGACACTGAGGCATTCCACCNCCCAGAATATCCCATAATATTGGATACAAATTAAAACAACTCTTAAGAATCCCTTCCTTCTGATTAGTTTAGACCGAAGTGTTTTTTTCAACAGATTTTCTGAACTCTGTTTGCTCTGTGGTTGAGCTTGTCCTGTGCACCCCTGGCCTCTGCCCACTAGACACGAGGAGCACCCACCCCCCAGCTGTGACAACTGAACATGTCTATAAACATTGCCAAATGTCTCCTGCAAAATCACTGGCGTTGAGAACCACTGCTTTTAGAGTCCTCAAAATGCCTTCTTATTCACTGTTATCTTCTTCAGTCTAATTAAATAACAGAGTTTCGGGGGGATGTCAAACTAATAACTATCAAATATTTACCGAGGAGCCATCTGTTTCCCCCAATAGTGACCTGAATGAAGACAATGAAAGCATCATCCATATCCTTTTTCTGTCACTAAGCATGCTAGTTCTTTCCCGCCCCCCTGCCAAAAAGTACGTCCATCCCCTAAGACTGAAGAGATCGCTAGCACGCAAGGGCAAATGCCAAATCGCTTGCTTCCAAAACTGCCATCGTGAAGCACGCAGGCAGCTTCCCTAGAGAGTGTCTCTAGAGTAATGCTGCCTGGGCAGTACAAGGTCACAGCGATTCTGCGGCACTGCCGCAGAGCAACTTGCAGCCTCAAGCCTCCTGCAATATCCCTTCCCACCACTGGATGGCGGAAGTGTGCTTCCGCGCCTTCAGGTCAACCGGCGGCCGAGTCATCAGAGCGCTCTGCGGCCCAGCAACCCTGAACAAAGAACGGCTATAATGATCG